TGTTGCTTTGCTAGTGTAATGGATGCTGGTCAGTTGGGGTTGAAGAATTGCTGAGATTAAGAAGAGACTAGCATTATTAAGGCAAAGTCTTCTGGGAAGTGTTTCCTCAGGGTCTGCACACGGAAGCTGTGTTTGAGAAGCAGCCTAATCTGATAGTGTAAGAATGACCCAGGTGGTAATGGTTTTGAAGGTATGAAGGGGTCATGGAGAACAGCTGAGGCTTGACACCGTGTGGCAGGGCTGGATTCTCTAAACCAAGCTCAGGAGAGACAAATTGGTAGCAGACTAAGGAAGCCCAGCCCAGCTGCAGCAGGAGACCACAGAATTTGGAGATGCCAGTACCATGCGGTATGGCCATCAAAAACAGCAGCAGGTATGGAGTGGAGTTGGCCTGAGCTTAGAAGACACTCAGTAAAGTGGAGATCCAGGGAAGTGACCCGAACCCTTTAGAGGGGCCCAGAACATCATGAGTGCATCGCAGGCATTAGATACTGAGTTATTTATATAGTTGGGAGTTTGATTTTGCTTTTATTTGATTGTGACTGTGCCCTGGTTCTTCTCTCTTGAAGTAAAAAAAAAAAAAAAAAAAAATTATTTTTGTTTTATAGGTGTCCACAATTAAGACACTGAATTTGAAAAGACAGTGGATTTTAAAAGAGACTATTTTACAGAGACAGAATTTTAAATGTTTGAATTTTTAAAGACTGCGATACTTACAATTTGGAATGTTAACCTTGCAATGTTGATATTAATGTGTGATATAGGAAGAACAAAACAGAAAGATTATGGCTTCACAGTGATGTGCATGTGTGCCAAGTTGGCAAGGGTCAATTGTGCTGGCTAGTTTTATGTCAACTTCATACAAGCTAGAGTTATCTAGCCATCCTTGGGCTTTTGGTCCTGGGTTCCCCAAGAAAGAAGGCTGAGCGAGCCATGATGGCTCCCCTCCATGCCTGCTGCCTCAAGGTTCCTGCCCTGTTTGAGTTCCTGTCCGGCCTTCCTTCAATGATGAACAGTGCTATGGAAGCACAAGACAAAGAAATAAACCTGCTATTCCTCAAGTTGCTTTGGTCATGGTGTTTCATCACAGCAATGGTAACTAACACACCTGGCATCAACCTCTGGCTTCCATCTGCACATCCACTCATGCAGCACACGCAATATGAAAAGTATAAAACCCAAAGTTGTTTTTCAGAGTTTTTCCTAGCAATAAGTGATTCATAAAGTAGATATAGAGGATATTTAAAAATCAAGTGGAATGATTTGGAAATATTCAAGAACAAATTAAAGATTTTAAGACATTAAAAATGCTATCTGAGCTGGGCGGTGGTGGTGCAAACTGTTAATCCCAGCACTTGGGAGGCAGAGGCAGATGGAGCTTTGAGTTCGAGGCCAGCCTGGTCTACAGAGTCAGTTCCAGAATAGCCAAGGCTACACAGAGTCACAAGAACAATAAAAAAATCTACCTGAGCCCAATCTAAAACACATACTTGTAATGAGGGGTCAAATAGCTTTTCATAAATTATATTGGAACACAATATTAAAGGAAAAATAAAAATATGGGAAACTAAATTTTACATAGGTTTGTGGTGAGCATAGTAAGGTAGGTCTGTAATCGAAACACTCACAGTGAAGGAAGGAAAGTTAGAAGTTCCAGGTCGTCCTTGGCTACATGGAGAGTCCTTGGCTAGCCTGAGATACATGAAACCACTGCATATATATGATGGTCCATGGTTAATTTGGGAGTTAGGACTTATTCAGGTAAGCAAAAATGTCCTTGTCACTTAAGACATACATAATATTTCATAAATGGTATTATTCATTTCACAAGTAATGGAGTTTATGGTATTTATGTGGAAAAAAAAACAGTATCTAGGCAGAAGGCCTTTGTCTGATTAACAATATGTCAAAAAATCAAGGAAGCTCAAGGTAGAGAAGTATAGAACCAGACGCTTCAGACATTTGAAATTGAAGTTTCCTCCCAGCCAGCTAGACCCTGCTGTAACACCTTTATTAAATCATCTAAATCCTTTAGCTTTAAACTTGCACTTATAGTTTTTTTACATAATATTAAAAGGGGGTTGGAAATGAGCCGCACTGATAATCTGTTTCTAAAAAAGGAATATCTTATTTACTCGTATTCTTCTAAAGGGTTTTACAATTCCTGGGCCAGAGATGAAGCTCCACAATGGACTGCTTGCCTTGGATACCATGATTTCAATCCTTATCATCCTATCCCAACAACCCATATGCATTTAAATAAATGCTTTCTTCAGGTCATACTTTCTCTTATTATTCTGCCTATTACCGGGTGTCACCACATACTGAAGTTGTTGGCCTTCCTGCTCAGATGAAAGGGTGTGCTGGGACTCGAGCCCAGAAACCGCACAGCATTGACAGTCCTCAGCAGAGGCCTTGCAGCTCTCAGCTGAGAGTATCCCCAGCTCAACTAAGGAGCTCGGGAGCCGCAGCCCTGCTCCGCTTCTTTGCTTCTTCCCTTCTTCTCTCATTGCTTCTTGGCGTCTTCCAATAACAGAATCACACCAAGCAGCAAATCTTATAAAAAGAGATTTATTAGGAGGGTCCAGGGTGTGGAGGGACAAATATAGAACTGGCTGCTCCCACTCCTGGAAGAGGACAGGAGAGAACTGGCCACACACAGCTTTTATAAAGGGTTTTTTCACAGGTGGAGCTTTCTAGGGCAGTGATTTCCAGGGTGAGGACTGACAGGATTTCAAGGCCTGAATTTGGGGGAACTCAGGGATTGGTAGGTTTTCTTGTTCAGGGATTGATAGCCTTTTCTGCTCAGGGATTGGTGGGTTTCTGTGGGAAGCCTAGGGACTGGTTGGTTTTCCTGCTTAGGGAATGATGCCTCCTTGTTCAGACTTTTCACCTAAAATTAGCATAATCTGGGAAGGGGCCTTTTGAGGGTCTGCAGACGACATTTGTGGCAGTTACAGAGGCTGGAAATCATGTTATGACAGAGAAATCTGGGGGAGGGGCTGGCTGCTGGAGCTTCTCAGGCAGGGTCCTGGCACTTTCTGGCCTGGAGGGCTTACAAAGTTTACAAAGCATACAAAGTTTACAAATGGAATCCAAAGAATCATTATCTTAGGTACCTCTTCAAGCAATGTTCCTTAACTCGTCTTCCGTGCCTTGGCTGTTCTTTTTTCCTTGGGTCATAAGTAAATACCTTTCCTGTGGCAGAATGCTCAAGCACCTATTTATTGCCTCTCCCGGTGACCCCCAACCTGTACAGTGCTCTAGAGAATGGATACATTCCTAAATTCTTTCTAAAATCCCTGCAAAGCATTGTTCAGTTTATTCTGATAAACATCCCCAGACTTGCCACTTTTGAGCTTTCCCTGCCTACCACCCAACTCAGGTTTTGTTTTTGTTTGTTTGATCTCAGCTTGAGGTAGCCTAGGTTGCTGAGCCCAGGCTTTCTCTCCACGCTAAGGTGGGTATCGACAGCTACTCTATGACCTCACTTCCAGGTCTGCTTTGAAAGCAAGAGGCTCTTTGTGACACTCTGGACGGCATCACGCTGGCTTCTTAGGCTCTCCTGCTGTCTTGCGTAAGGGACTGTCCTTTCACTGAGTCCCCTGGGCGCTTGATTTTCAGATGGCCTTACTTTTAAACTAGGTATCATCAGGAGGCAGGAAAAATCATGCAGTCTAACTATAGGCAAATTCTAGAGGTGCCTAATCAGTACAGAAGCTTAAAGGTCAGGCTAGGACTTATCAGCAAGCAACAGATGTCCACAAGTGTGGATACTTGCAGTTTTTAAGGTGATTAATATTAAAATCTACTTCAAATCAATGCTTTTTAACTGAGTAGCAAAATGGGTTGGCTTTTACTGATCTTATATAAATATTTAATTTAGGAGTTGTATTTTTTTTTTTTTAATGTATTTCCTTTGGAGACCAACTCTCATTCTCTAACCTGGACTGGCCTAGAACATTTATGTGGCTCAGGCTAGCCTCAAACTTGCAGCAGTCCTTCTGCTTCAGCTTCCTGAATGTTAGGTTTACAGATGTAAGCTGCTACTGGCTAGTTGGTATATTATCACATGTGCTTTTTAAAAAATGAGAAACTTCTGACCACTTAGTAGTTACTAAAATTTAGAATGTGCTGTTATCGATGATCAGTGGTATGGTGCATGGCAGTTATTTTTTCTTCAATGCATCTGTATTATACCCCATTTGGTGGGCATTTATTGTCTCACAATGATGTAACCTAGACTACTGTAAATCAAGTGGTTCTGGTCCCCAATATCCCCCCCTCCCCTTAGCCTCTGCACTGAGGGTGGGGCTAAAATCTCCGTGGAAAGAAATGCTCGAGTGTTTTCCCTAGTAAAACTCAGGATCAGTTAACTCTGCTTCACAGCTTCTTAAAGCATGGCAAGTTTAGACAAGGAATGATCCACACGCGGACACATAAGGTGCTTCTCAACCTTCCTAATGCTGCTACCCTTTAACATTTCCTCACGTGGGACCCCCAGACATTAAATTAATTTCGTTGCCACTTCCTAGCTGTAAATTCGACACTATTTTGTAAATATCTGATATGCGATCCCTGTGAGAGGGTCAGTGCAAGTACAAAGGGGTCGTGACCCACGGGTCGAGAAACCCTGAAGTCGCATCCCTCCCTGCTCAGCTTGAAAGCTTGCGGAAAGGTTATTTAAAGATTCAAGCCCACAGTACCCGGGCTACGGGGGAGGCTCGGATAGGCTCGTTTTAAAATGCCTTGTCGTCCTCTTCTGATCCGAGTGCCAGGAAGCCACCGTCCCTGTGGCTGTACTTCAAATACACGCAGTGGCACAAGGGAGACCTGCCTCCGCAGCTACCCGGTCTCCGCCGACTCCTGGAACCCCGCGGGCCGCAGCGCCCAGGCCCCGCCCACCAATTATGGGCCGCCCCGGGGAGGGGCCTGTCCGGACATTCCCCGCCTCCCGTGCCCCTCCCCGCCCCCTGGTAACCCGGATATACACTCCCGCTCCCCTTTCACCCCACGGCCGTTGGCCTACGCGGAGGCCGAGCGGCCGGCTGCTGGCTGGTGCAGGGCGCGGGGCCCGGGACGTGGGGCGCGGGGAGGCGGCGGCGCGGCTTTCCCTGGGCGGCGATGGCGCGCGCGGGCGCCGGGAAGCGGGCGCCGTAGTAGCGGGCTCAGCGGCGGGCCTGAGGCGGGCCCTGCGCCGGTCTCGCGCCATGGCCCCCATGGGCATCCGCCTGTCCCCGCTGGGGGTGGCCGTGTTCTTCCTGCTGGGGCTCGGGGTGCTCTACCACCTCTACTCGGGCTTCCTGGCCGGCCGCTTCAGCCTCTTCGGCCTGGGCGGCGAGGCGGCGGGCGGGGCGGCGGAGTCGGGGGCCGACGGGGGCGCGGTGGACCTGCGCGAGATGCTGGCCGTGGCGGTGCTGGCGGCCGAGCGCGGCGGCGACGAGGTGAGGCGGGTCCGCGAGAGCAACGTCCTCCACGAGAAGTCCAAGGGGAAGACGCGCGAGGGCGCCGAGGATAAGATGACCAGCGGCGACGTGCTGTCCAACCGCAAGATGTTTTACCTGCTCAAGACGGCCTTCCCCAACGTGCAGGTGGGTGCTGGGTCGCGGGGCCCGGGCCGGGGTCGGACCTGCAGAGCGACAGTAACGTGGGCAAGGTCACGCACGCAGGAGCGGGGGAGCCTGTGGCTGTCGCACCCGGGGCCACGCTCCTCCTCCTCCTCTTCCCGGGGGTGGGAGGGCGGGCGTGTTCACGTTTGGGAGAGCTGGGTGGCCTTGGATGCTGCGATGCTGGCGGTGAGGTGGACCACACGTCTGTAACCGGCCGCTCTCTAACTGAAGGGATTCGAACCCCTTGGACCTTTGTGTTCTCCTAGGATTTTATCCCTTGGGGTGGTGGTGTTGAGCCCATGATTTCTAGCAGACGGTCCGGCCAACTAGAAAGGCCCCAAGTCCGTAGAAATCTTTTGTGCGCGGAGCATCGGGAGGAAGGGCTGTGCTCATGAATCGCTGTAGTTGTAGCAAGGGCCGGTTTATGAACACTGTGGTTTGGGCTGCCTTTCGAGGAAACACTTGGAGATGATGCTTTCTTGCAATTTCACTTCGGTGTATCCCAGCGCTCCAAGATTCTCTGTGTCAGAGAGAATTAGGTAACATCTACCCTGTCTGTGTTAGGTTTCTTGAAAAAGTTGACTTTTTCTTAAACTATACATTTTAATCGTTTCAGTACAGTTGCATTTGTGTGTGTGTGCGCGCGCGCGTGCCGTCGCGAGCGCTTGCTTGTGCTCCCACAGGCTTCTTGAGGGTTCTTTAAGTAGGCCAAGCTGACCTGGAACTAACTAAGCTTCAACCTGAAATCAGGATCCATTTGTCTCAGCTTCTAGAGAGTTCTTTGCTGGAATTACACATATCTGCAACAACCTTTGACTTTTCAGTCGGCCTTTGCCAGTTTATTTATGGGGGCAGGGCTCAGCAGTGTAGTGGAATCTCTTATCACCATACAGTAGTTAGGTATTGGCCTCTAGAAAGAAAAGTTGCGTCCAGCGGTTTTATTGATTAGGTAAACAATAAAAATTAAACCCAGGTTTCTTTGGAAGGTGTCCATCGTGCTGATCTTCAAAGAATTAAAGTACTGTCATTGAAGAATCTCCTATCTTATGCAGTGCTCCTTCCCTTCTTCCATTACTGTTTTGGGTTTCTCTCAGTCTTGTTTCTGTGTCATCATCTCCCCTTTTTTCCTCCATGAAACATTGGATTTCAACTATTAATCTGCTGAATATCAGATGTAATTGACACTGCGTTTTTTTATTTCAAATGCCTTCCAAGTCATAACACTAAATATTTCCACATTTTTCTTGTTCCTTACCCTTTTATTTACTACCGTTGCAAATAACACGTATCATTGTATCTAGAGTGAGGTATACTTATGAAATACATTTGTCTTCTCAAAGTACACGTAGGAGTTAATGGAAGAAATAGCAGTTTGGAGGCAGTTGATACATTTATATACCACTGTAATGAATACATTTAATGTATTCTAGCTATCAGTCACATAGGACTTTATTTGAACTTCATAGCAATTTTTTTAAAGTATATTTCATTTGTGCCCATTTTACCCAAATGGGTGATTAGGCTCATGACACGTCACAGCTTATGTGAGCGCTTCTTAGAGGAAAAACGCTCCTTAGTGATAGTGAAATGTAGCAAGCATAGCTGCTTTATCGCAGGTAAAGTCACATCATAAGATTTGAAACAAATCTGTGTTTGTGTGTGTGTATACATGTGAGCGCTCTAGTTTTCACATATTAGCAAACAAAAGAATAGCTGCTAAGGGTATCACGTGACATTTTATTAAAACAACACTAGGCTTTTGGATTTCAGATGTTCACACAGTGCCTTAGTATTAAATAACTTTTCTTAGGGCTGACTGTGCCTTCAGTGTTTAGGTTAGATATTGATTTGTGTAACAGAATGTTATGTTCACTTATGTACACGGGTAGACTTAGGATGTGTAATATTGAGCTGTCTCCTTTTACTACTGTTTACTAGACTAGAAGCCAAATGGAGCCATTTAAGAAGTAGAGAACCAGCCTTAGGTTTTTGGTTTGTTTGTTTCTTTCTTTTAGCCTCTTTTCCAGTGTTTAAGTACTATCCTTAATGCAGGTCATTTTTTGGAGCCTTATTCCAGTTTATATGTTTATTTATTTATTTTAAGAAACTTACTTCATGCTCTCCAGTTAGTTCATTTCCTAATGCAGAGTTAACATTTAGAAGGCACAACTATCTGCCCCTTTCCCTTTTAAATCTTATGCCTTTCTTGAGAGGGGTGTGTATGTTTTCTTTCTCTTCCGCACTTTCCTGTTTGGTGTTTAAGCATGAAATGGCCTGTTTGATGTCCTCACTGTAATAGAATATAATGGGAGTGACCCCAAGAGAGGCCAGTGACCCTGTAGGTTGCCACCCCCAGGGGCAGAATGCTATCACCAAGTGGCTAGAATAGACATCCTATAACCCTCCACACAGCCCACAGGAAATGAGTCTCCAGCTTAAGCTGGGAGGTCATGCTCAGGTGGCCAGCACCCCCTAGAGGTGCATGCTGCCCAGTCGCACACAAGTTTAACCTTTGCTTGCTGGGTCTCCTCCTGTCATCAGGTATTCTCAGGCCATGGATCTACAAGTCTTAGAGGCAGCTGCTCTACCCCTAAGCAATTTGGCAATGCTTAATTTCATTGCCTCAAAGCAGGAATAATTGAGAGATGTCTTACAACTGCCTGCTTGGTCCTGGGTAAAAGCAGTTCAGGTGTTCTAGTCTTAACTACAGTGCTTGGACAAATGGAACACTACAGAGTAGATGCTGAGAGAATTAGAGAGCAAAGTGTTATTAGGACATCAAGAGGGTTTTTAAGTGGGTTGTGGTTATCGGTGAGACAGATGAGCATAATGAGTCCTTAGGGATGTATAAAAGAGACTAAACTGGACCCGCAGCTTATGGTAGAGCTATGGAAGACTCTAGGTTCAATTCCCAGTTCTACAAGAGAAATGAATGAAAAGAAAGGCCTCTTTTAAAGGAAGCACTTTTTAAAAGATTTATTTGTTTTGATTTGTGTGTAGGTATTGGTGTGTACATGTGAGTAAAAGTGCTCTCAGAGACCGGAAGTGTTGGGTCCCCCTGGACCTGGAGTTAAAGGCATTTTTGAGATGCTGGACTTACGTATTGGGAACTGACACTGTACATTTTTAGTTTATTTTTTATTTATTTTCGTGGTGCTAGAATTAATTTAGAGCCTCGCACATGCTCGGTAGTTGCTTCTACACTTAGCTGACTTCCCAGCCCAGAACAAAGTCTGAGCATAGTTAACTGGCAGTTGATTAGTTAATTGTGTGTGAAAGTGTCTTTCGTATCCTGATGTAGAAGCGAAGTTGATAAGCAGGTGAGGAAATGAAGATAGTGAATATGTAAATCTTTAGAAGTTGGGCCTTTGAGGAGTTGGCGCAGATGTCATATAGGGCTAAGAGTCCAGTTTGGTTGTTTGATTGGTTTTTCGTAGTATTTATTTTTAAGACCTGAGACAGTGAAGGTTATCTAATTGTTGCAAGATTGTTTTGAGAAACAGATGGTAAGAAAAGGTGTTGTGAAAGTGGAAATAGAACAGGGCAGGTATGGGGGCTGTTTATACATTTTGAAAGTAGTTATTCTCTAGAGATACACTTGATCAACATTTGATAGGAAGACATGGCTCTTTAGGAGGCTGAGAAAGTCATTTAATTTTCAGCCTGCACAGGGGAGGCCCAGGGAAGTTGCTACTATTGTTTCAGCTAAAACTAAAAGGCATAAGAACCATAGAGTAAATCTTAGAGAACAGATGAGTTCCCTATGAACTCCAGCAACCATGCTGAAGGGGCACATTTTCTTTTCCTTTCCTTTTCCCTTTCCCTTTTGCTTATCCAGATTTTTACAGGATTGAATAAGATCCATTAACACAACTCTGTTCTTTCAAATGCTAACTGTATCTCAAAGCCATACACAGAGGTAATGTCTAGTCAAAAATCTGGGTACCCTATTGTCCACTATAGTACATATATGAAATTATGTGTGAGATTTTATATCTAAACCCATATTAATTACATACTGGTTTATTGATAAATGCACGAGGTGGTTGATCAAGGCCTCTTCAACCCCAAGTTAACTGAACTATCATAACTAACAGCACTGATTGTGTTTGGGGGCCTTGAGCTTTCATAGTACTGATGAAGAATAGTTTGCTTTGCCTTTCTCAAGCCCAAGTTACAAGACTAGCCTGAATATCTGTATATCTGTATATGTGTGCTATATATAGATCCATGTATGTACGCAAAAGGTACTAATCTAACAACCTTTATATTCAGTAATTATATGATTGCTGACCCCTGATGTGGTAGCACAAGTGAACATTTTACATTTAAAAAGTTATATATCACCTCTGCTATTTTATAGCTGCCATATGGGGCACCATATCATTCAGTATAGTATGTAAAATGTATCTAAAACTATATTAATTCTCCCTGAGGATCTCTATCTCTTCAGATCTGCATCTTACATTTTACTGTGTTGTTTTCTATGTATCTTACATTACTCCTACCTCCCAAACCACTTAGAGTTTTCCCTTCCATTGTTCTTCCATGTTGAGGTTTAGAGAAAGAGAGTCAAACTAAATTGAATCATACATGTAAGAATTTATTCTGTCTCCTAAACTGCTTAGGGTATTAGGTTTGGAAGAGAAAATGCATTCATTATGAAAGACTGAGTAGGCAGTGTTATAGTAATACTGTCCATGATAGCTGTTCTTCATGTGGTGATTCTGACCCAGTTGGTCTTGTTAATGTGTGGTTCTGCCATGTCAAAATGGCAGGAAAAGAGGAAAACTGATCTTTTTACCAGCCAGGGAAGTTAGGTGTGTCACATTTTTTGTCCATATTTCATTGGCTAGAATATCTGTGTTTCTTATTGCAAATGAGATGGGAACTGTGAACTTGTATATGCCCAGGAAGGAAAGGAGAACTAGATTTTATGAACACTAGACAGACTTACATAGACAAACAGCTAGCCAAAAGAAATCTGTGGTTAATAATACTTAAGGCTAGTAAACAATCCTGTCAGGTAAGTAGTTACCAGGAATGGGTGGAAATTACAAGACTAGGCATCGTTTATGGCCATAGCCTATGGTCAGTTTGTAATTTTCTGGTTTCTAGAAGCTTTTTATATCACCCACTCAAATCATAGGTTTTCTGAAAACTTTACTTTTCTTGTCTATCATGAATGACTTCATTGAGAGTAGCCAGACTGGGATAAGAAGGAGTGTTGTAATTGGTGAAAACTGTTGTCACTAAGAAGTCATAGGCTTTTCGTTATATTTTGTTATACTTAGTTCCTATTTTAAGTCCATGGACATCAGCAGAGAGGCTTTATCCAGCAACTCATGAAAGCAAATGCAGAGACCCACAGCCAAACATTAGATGAAGCTTGGGGAATCCCACAGAAGAGGGGTAGAAAGAATTGTAGGAGCTAGAGCTGTTGAGGACACCACAGAACATAGCCCACAGAATCAACTAACCAAGGCTCATAGGGACTGATAAAGACTGAAGCAACAATCAGGCAGCCTGTATGGGTCTGAGCTAGGTCCTCTGCTTAGATGTTAAAATTGTGTAGCCTTATGTCCTTGTATGATTCCTAACAGTGAGTGTAGAGTGTCTCTGATTCTCCTGCTCTTAGGACCATTTTACTCCTACTGTATTGCCTTGTCCAGCCTTGATATGAGGATTTGTGCCTAGTCTTATTGTGTCTTGTTATGCCACATTTGGTTGGTACTCCTGGGAGGCCTGCTCTTTTCTGAAGGGAAATGAAAGGAACAGTGGATCTGAGGTGAGGGTGAGAACTGGGAGGAGTGGAGGGAGGGAAAACTGCGGTTGGAGTGTAATGTATGAGAGAAGAATAAATAAGAAAATGAAAATAAATAAAAAAGGGAAGTTGTGTAGAGGAAGTTATTTTTTTGTCTGTTTCATTCATTATTTTAATAGCCAAAATAGCATAGAGTACAAGTATTTGTTGAAATAGTGAGTGAATATAATATAGAACATAAAAAGAAAAATATAAAGGCTATTAAAGGAATTAAGTGGGGTAATGATGATAGTAGCTTGAACACGCTTTCTTGCTAGACGTGCTGACTTAAAATTGGGAATTAGAATTTTCAAGATTTACTAATGACCCTGTCAGTGATAGTGGGAGGAAAGGCCATAGTCTATAACCTATGGGTAGCCTGAGAGGTTTTTTCCCAGAGACCTATTCAGGTGGAGCTGGTGGGATTCTTGACTGTAATCCTACAGAAAAGAACTTTAGGAGGAGACAGTATGAAACAAAGAAAGTTAATTGCTAATATTGCTAAAATTTGTTGCTAATATATTAAAATGCAGTTGATAATAAGAATTTCATAGTTGACAATATGCACTATTTCTTCAAAGTTTTTTTTTGTTGTCTCATTGCTTAGTCATCAACTCCATATCTTGGTTTGTTCTTCTAATAGTACGTTCACCACGCTGTTCCTCTTCTGTATTAGTATTCATTATAAGAGAAGGTAATATCTTTGTGTTGTGCCCAGTAGCTATGGCATTCTGGGGTGAAAGTGTCTTTCACCCCAACTCCGCTTGCCTCCTAACTGCCCTGGGAATGAACTAGGCATGCTCTTCATTTCAGCGGGTGTGCTTGTTATTTCAAGGGCTAGAATATACTTCCGCCAGAGCCTGCTGTGTTCTCTTTTAGGTCTTAAGTCAAATACTGCCTTTCAGGTCTCTCTAGCTAACCTGGTTTTTGCCTATTTATAAATAATTTTATTGCTGCACAGTTCATATATCATAAAATTTGTATATGCTTTTGTATGATTCAGTAATTTTGGTAGGTTTGCCAGGATGTGGAACCATTACTATTTGGTTTTAGAATGTTTTCTTTGTCTTTATAATAGTCTTTTTATTTCTATTCCCTGCCCCAGGGAACTGCCAGTCTATTTCTCTTAGCATTGGTGGACCAAAACTCAATTTAATCTTCAGCCGTCCTTCTTTCACAAAGCTGCAGGGGTAACGCCTGTGTCCTGCCCAGCATGGGTGCTGGGGATCTGTATTCAGCACTTAATGCTTCCGCAGCAAGTACTTCGCCAACCGAGCCCTCTCTTCAGCCCCCATTAACCTAATTTTTATGGTATAGATAAGTTTTTTGCTTCACTGGGTTTATTCTAATTTCTAAAAGTAAACAAGATTCTAAAACATTCTTTGACCAATAGTTTATACATATGGCACAGTATATAAAGTAGGCATTAATAAGCCCACTTATTTTTTATTCTCTGAGAATTTCATACATGTATACAGTGTAACTCATTTATGCACCCCTCACTACCCCAGTCTAACTCCTTCCAGGACCCTCCCATCACATTGCTCTTACAACTTTCTGTTCTTTTATAATTATTTATGTTAACCTAGTAAGTCAAAGTAGTACTGTCTTTATACAAGCATGGCATGGCCTGGGGTCATCTACTGGAGCGTAGGCGTTGGCCACACTCCTATAGAAAAGTAACTGTCCTTCGCCATTACCTTCAGGAGCCATCAGCTACCACTAGCTCCTCAGCCAGAAGTGGGGTCTTTGAGTGTCCCTCTCCCCTCCATGCTAGAACTTTTAACTGGCTTGATCTTGTGTCTGGATTGTGTAAATAACAAGTGCTGCTGTGATTTCATGTATGCAACAGCCATGTCATATGCATAGTACAGCGTTTCACAGCATCCTGTCCATCCTCCAGCTCTTGAATTCTTTCTACCTCCTCTGTCTGGAAGCTTGGTGGGGACAGGGCTGATAAAGGAATTTCATATGTAGCTGGACATTCATTACCACTTTCTACACTTTGAACAATAATGTGTCTCTACATTAATCACTACGTACAGTAAAGAGCCTCTCTGACTAAGGATGGAGCATCATAAATCTGTGGCTATTAATATAAATATGTAGGGTTTAGCAAAATGTCTTAATGGTTAAGAGCAATTGATCCTATTGCAAAGGACCCAGATTCAGCTCTCAGCATCCACATGCTGTTGCAACTGTCTTATCTAACTCCAGTTCCAGGGAATTGAATTCCTCCTTCTGGCCTCCATAGGCACACATGTGGTACACACACATAAATGGAAATAAGCACAAAAACATAAATGTTTAGAAGCATTAATGCTAGCAATTTGTTAGCATTATTTAGAAAAATATCAACGAGTTCTCCTGGCAGGAAGACATCGGCTACAGGCGCTCTAGCAGTAGGCTTTGACCATGTTTATAGTAAGAAGCTCACCATTTAAAGCAGTCAGTCTACATACAGCAAGATGGAGGTCTATTATTTGGTAACATCTGGGGACATTTTTGATTCTTAAAACTAAGGAATACACTTAATACATTTTTATAGGCATCTAGCCAGGGCTTTTGGAAAACAGCTTGCAGCGCACAGCCTGGAGAGCTTCACAACAAGTTTATTCACTCAAAGTAATTAGGGGGGCCAAGGTGGAGACTGTCAATGCAAACAAATCTGCAGGGTCCTTTTCTTAACAGAACTCTCACTGTACACAGTGCTGCATGTATTTTTATATATGATGATTTATGGGAAGTCCTAGCTGGAGAGATGGCTCAGCAGTTAGGAGTATTTGCTGTTCTTGAGATCCAGGTTCAGTTCTGAGCATCCACATGGCAGCTCACAAACCATTTGTATGCCCAGTTCTAGGAGCTTTTGTACCATCTTCTGGCCTACAGGACACCAGGCACATGTGCTAACACAGATATACATGCAGGCAAAAATACATTAACTAAAGATGCATTCATCTGTGTTTTTTCCTCCACAATTTTATCTATGTATGGCAAATCAGATTTATTTTATGTTTTAATTTCTTTTTTGTAAGAATAAAAAGATAGAAATCTACCTTCTTAATCTCTGATATATCTTTGATATATAGTTAAAAGATAATGAGGCTTTTTTTTTTTGTTCTTTTTGATTGCTTGTTTAAATTTTATTTAGGTTTTTTAATATACTAGCTTATCTTTTCAGTAATCTCCAGGATTCCTTTTCCATACTCTTTAAAGTTACATTTTATACAACCAATTTCCTCAGCCATTTTATCCATTATCACTTAAGTTCTCTGTTTGTAAGGCATATCAACTACATTGTTAATATTCTGTTTGCTTCTAAGTATAGTTAATGTTTGTGTTCAATATTCTAGAATATATCTGTTTTCATATTTTAGATTTTTTTTTTTTAGTTTTATTTTAAAAATGAGTCTCCTAAATTAGCCTAAGGTGGTCTGAGACTCACCCTTACCTCATCAGCCTTCCTAGCACTGGGCTGTAGACATATGCCGAGCTTCAGTCCATCAGGTCTTTAACTCTTTTTTTTTTTTTTCCTTTTTTTATTACAATGTATTCAATTTATATCCCCTTTATGGTCCCCGCCCTCGTCTCCTTCCAATTCCACCCTCCCTCCCTCATCTTCTCCCATGCCACTCCCTTAGTTCACTGGTAGGGAGGTCCTCCTTCCCTTCCATCTGACCCTAGCCTATCAGGTCTTATCAGGACTGGTTGCATTGTCTTCCTCTGTTATTTAACCTTGAATAACTCACTTCTTTGATACATTTATTGGAACCCTGCCTTTCTGTGAAGTCTCTGGCTTCATTAACCAAAACACTAAACTTGAATATTTTTAATTATTGAATTCCTTAATTTTTAAAGCTTTCTTTTTTCTTTTTTTATTGTTTGTTATTATTATTTACATTTTATCAACTCTGCATCCCAGCTGCATCCCGCTCCCCCATTCCCTCCCAATCCCATCCTCCCTCCCTCAGCTTCTCCTGCCCTTTTCCAAGTCCAAGGATTGTGAGCTCTTTGAGATGCATTTTTTGAGATTTTATTAAATAGTAATGATTTTCTCCTTTGTAATTACTATTTACACTGTAGATAAATACTGAGGAACACGTGGATGCATCTGACAAGGAAGTCATTGTATGGAACCGTAAGATTCCTGAGGACATCCTGAAGGAAATATCTGCTCCTAAGGAGGTTCCAGCAGAAAGTGTGACCGTTTGGATTGACCCGCTTGATGCTACACAGGAATACACGGGTGAGTATCAAAGGTTAGATTGTTTTATATTAGAGAATGTAGACCCAGAACAGATAGTGTATACCTGGTGGCAGACAGGTTACAGATCTAAGACTTTTCCAGTTAGACTTTAAGAATCTGATTATATTTCCAGATAAGCATGCTAGATTATTAAGGTGTTATGTGGACCATTTAGACAAAATGGATGACTCTTCCTCTTGTTTCCCAAACCATAGAATATTCCTTTACTAACATTAGCCTATTCAGGGGCTCGCTAGATCATTCATAGCGACACCAGCATGCTATCAGACATCTAGTTCCAAGGAAAAGTATTAGCCAGAACATAGTTTTTACTTTGGATATTGGGAATTCAGGTTTTATTATACACATTTGACTTAAGATTTCAAAGTAGTACATTTTATGGATCCAGAAAACAAAAAGCAGCAAAACAAGATTTATTACCACCAACTCCCAGGTACTCTATGGTCTACCTCCAGCTGTTTCTTACACAGAGGTATCTAATTCCTGCTTTGCCCTTTCCTGTTATATGTTCAAGTTAGTTAATTTGTCCCAATATATGCCAAGGCCCCTAGAATATTGGGAGTTTCTACTTTTTTTACCTTGGCATTCTATATACTGAACTTGAAATGTAATACATACTCAAGAGATTATTACTATTGAGAAGACAAAAGACACTTAATAACTAAAAGAGAAAATACTTAATAACTGAAGTTACAAAACTAATTCATATGAATAAATAGTAGAAACATAGAATATTGAACTTGTTTGTGAAAAATTTTTCTGAAATGACCTGGCCTATTTTATACTTATAACTTGACTTTTAAAATTGATTATAAAATTAAAAGTTAATTTATATCTAAAGATAGATAATTGGTATCTGAACTGTATGGATTAGAAAACTGAGTTGACTTTAATTTGCCCTAAGATACAGATTTACTGAAATGATGGACTGGCTGAGGAACCCAGGTAACTAGGTCCATAAATACTGAGCAGCTTTTGTCCTTCTGCTTAGGGCAGTTTTGCTTCTGACAAGTGTTTCACGCATCTAAATTCTAATGAGGGAAATATCCTATTGTATACTAAAATTAAACAGTACTTTAACAGCTGTGCATTTCTGTTTTTTTCTAGAGGATCTTCGAAAGTACGTCACCACCATGGTGTGTGTAGCTGTGAATGGCAAACCTGTGCTAGGTGTTATTCATAAGCCATTTTCTGAATATACAGGTATGAAGTATGAGCACCTTTGAGAGGCAGAGAGGATTTTATGGTTCACACTGATAGTGTGTGACAAAACACAGCTTCCTAAAAAATCTGTTGGAACTACTACTAGGTATTGACATTCTCCAGAAAACTGTTGGGGTTGAGGCCTAGGATTCTTACACTGCATTCTGAGGTAAAGCTGAACAGTTGTTCTAGCCAAATCTTTTGTATTATACAGAACATCAATTAATTTTGGTAAAGGAGAGTGACGCTTAACGTCAAGAGTGAGAGAGCAGCTGTCCCATGTTTAAATTGTCCCATGCTTACCTACAGCCAGTGTCTTTTAGAGATCTTTGGGGCCCTTGCTTCTCCATTCTTCATACAGTCGTGTTGGATAGTTTCCCCCAAAATGCAGCAGGTGAGGTCAGTGGTGGATATGTTTTAAGAAGGTGTGCATGACCATGACCATGTCAGGGAATTTCTTATGTAGTTAGGGTATGCCCTTTGCCGGTAGTCCTGCCAATGTCAGTGGATACAGGGAAGGTAATAGGATGCCTGTCGTCTTCTTGTCCTCTAAGGCATGGGTGGTAGTCTCATGTTCACTGAGATAGCACAAGATGTTACTGTTGTGAGGGAAGAGTATATATTTTTGCTCTCTGCCTGCAAGGATTACTCATGCTTTTAATTGGTTAATTCCCATCAACTATAGGACAAATGTTACGACCCTTGTCACCACTATTCCCTAGGATGACAAGGCTTTTAATTGTCACAGTATCCACATTGCCAGTCCTAATGGCCCAGTGTTGTGGATAATATAGTGTCATCCTCAAATTTGTGCATTAGTTTCAGAATTTCATACATGCATGTTTACATTTATAAAAATATATTAAAAATAAATAAGTTTAAGATTAGCCTCTGCTATCTATAAACTTGAAGGTCATCCTGGGCTATGTGAGACCCTACCTCAAACAAACAATTTTCCGAATTAGGAGGTAAAAGAAAAAGAAGGGCTAAAGTAAGAATTTTCACTGTTGATGATCCTTCTAGATTTGTTAGTTTCATTTTAAAGAGGTTAAAATATTTTTTTAATTGAAAAAGTTTGTCTGATTATTCCGAGACAGCGTTTCTTTGTGCAGCTTTGGTTGTCCTGGACTTGCTTTGTAGACCAGGCCAGCCTCGAACTCACAGACATATACTTGCCTGCCAGAACTGGGATTACAGGTGTATGCCGCTATGCCTGGCTCAAAAAACAGTTTTTAAAAAGAAAGTTTAAATGGTCTTAAACAATACACTGTAAGCTGAAATACAAAAGCCAAGATGTTGGCAGATATGCTCTCTCTGAACCATAGAAGAAACTGTTCTGTGGTTTTTCTCTGTCTCTGAAAGTTTGCCAATAGCCCACAGTGTTCCTTCATTTGTGAACCATCACTCCAATCTCTCTTCATCATCACATGGACTGTCTGTGTGCCTGTGCATCTTTTGTTTTTCCTTAAGGACACTGATTGTATGGATGAAGGTTTGACTGTACAATTTCTGATTGTTTCTCGGACCCTGTTTTCAGAAAATTCCAGATTCTGACTTAATTGCCTTCCTGTGTCTTTTGAGGTGGGAGAGACACAATTTGTTCTGTGTCCAGATGAGATTGTAGAGTAGTTGTTATAAGAAGCAGGAGCCATACATATGGCCTAAGGCAGCGTGAAGAAGACAGAGATTGAAGTAAAGCCTTGGATCAGTTCAGACTTGTAAGCTCTCAGTCAAGGACATCTAATAGCTTGTTATTCAGTACTTTAGTTTCAGATTGTTGCCTTCAGAAATATGGAAAGATTTTTTTTTTTTTTTTTTTTTTTTATTGCAATGCCTGGTTTGTGCTTACCTAAAAGAAGCTGTATAATCAGGTTTCTATTGCAATGATAAAAAGTCACGACTAAATGCAACTTGGAGAGGAAAGGGTTTATTTCACTTGGAAATTATAGTTCTTTATCAGGGGAAGACTGGGCAGGACTAGAGACAGCAACAGAGGAGTAGTTTTGCTTATTGGCTTGTTTCCCATGGCTTGCTCAGCTGGACTCCTTATAACTCCTGCAACCACCTGTTTGAGGTGGCACTACCCACAGCGTGTTGGGCCCTCCCACATCAAACAGAAAATACCTGGCAGACTTGCCTACAGACAAATCTGATGGAGTTTTTTTCTTTATAAAATTTCCTCTACCAAGGTGACCCTACAGTGTGTTAAATTGACAAGAAACAACAACAAACAGTAACCAGTACAGACACCAGAAGTCTTATTTTAGAAACATGTTGCTTCCCAAATTATCTTTGTAAGTTAACAATAAAGTATCCTTTTGTGAGCAGCTGGCCTACTCTGCTATTGCTTTTCTTGGAGAAGTGCATTGTTCTCTCTGGTGAAGATAGCAGTTGACAGACCAAAAAAAGGATTTCTGTGGAGTGTGTCTGGGCTACTTTTTTGTAAGGTTACTTAGAGGTTGTGATTACTCAAAAATTAGCTATTAGGTGATAACCTCACAGAGACTGAGTCTTAGGGTCCTCCTATTGGTTAACCTAGCTTCTGACATATTCTAGCACCACCCAAGAGCAAGCGCCCCTTGACCAGCTGGAAGAAGTAATAGCAAGAATCCCAGATGGAAGTTGTACTGCCTTCCTCTTCTAATAGGAATTCTTCACAGCTCAATTACAGTATACCTAGCCATCAGTGTCTTGTATTTCATATTTTGTTACCGCAACTGTAGAGCTAAGAATGCCCAGAGGATAAAGCTGTATTTTAACACCCATTATGCTGAAGCAAAAATTCATGCCAGTCAGAAAACATTTTGTAGAATCAAAACTTAAAAAATTATGTATAGATTGCCATCCATTCTTAGGTGGAAGATTTGTCCCAGGCTATGCATTAGCATTGACAGAGCACCAGTGTAAAACAAGTTTATCAGAAGTTAGCTGTACTTGACAACTGACTTAACTCCTCTGCTAGAACTCCTAATAGGAATTATTGATGGTGGCAGCTGGGGAATAGAACTGATCAGAATTCTTGCTACTTGTTTGTAATTAATTCATTGAGCTTGATATTCTTAGAAACAAGTTTTTTTTTTTTCCATAGTATTTTAAATGAAAGAATGTGTAAATATACCTGGTGGAAATTTGTAGCTATTAAAAATATGTCAGAATTCTTTGTAGCAAACTATCAGTGGCATTTATTTTCTACTCTGTTTGTGTTTTGAATCTGTTTGTTTGTTTAACAGGGTGTTCTGTGTAGTTCGGGCTGGTTTTGAATTCAGGTCTTAATTTTTTCTTTAGTATGTGTTAGAAAGCAAAGCCCAGGAATGGGAGTCAGCTTGCCTGTTCAGCATCAATTTCCACTTCACCTATTATTAACTATCTAGTGGGGTTTGTTTGTTTGTTTGTTTTTTTGTTTTGCTGTTTTGTTTGTTTGGAGTAAGAGACTCTGGGAACGCTGTGTTTCAAGCTATGAGATGAAGCAGAGATTTAATGAATAAGGTTTCAGGTTATTTTTGCCTAGTACAGAGAATAGCTGGAATACACAATTCATTTATCTTCTTAACCTTCTTACTATATGGACAGAAGTACTGGAAAGGAGAGAGCCTATCTTGAGCATTCAAACAACAAACATTTTAAAGAACAGGAAGATTTCAAGCTCTGTCGTTAGCCTTCATTTGCTTGTTTCTTTTTAAAAATGAGTCACATTAATCCCCATTTTATGTTACTTTCAGAGTTATTGTGGGGCTATATGAATATATATCAGTGTACTTTATAAAGTGAAAAAAGCAAAACCAGGCATTAGGTTTTTGAATTACTGAACCACACCTACTCTTTGGTCTTCCTTTCTGAACCATAACAGTCAGATTTACATTCTGTGTAGCTAAATGCAACCCTAACTAATGTAGACTGAGGAGCAAAAGACATTGTTCTGCCTTAAGCCTCATGTGCCAGGAGATTATAGATAGGGGCTACTGCCTGGCCCCCACTGGGCTTTTCTTTATCTCCGATAAAATAAACACATTCTGTAGCTGCTCCTTTACCTCTCGCCTAAATGGAATGTCAGTATGTCCATTGGAGCTAGAACGACTTGGTTAGGAGTACTCACTCTTGTTACTGAGGGCCCATTAGTCTCCAGCATCCATATTAGGTGACACATAACCGCCCAAAACTGCTCCAGGGCATCTGCATCCCATTCTGGCCTCTCCCAGCACCTGTACTCAAGTGTGGAGACATACAAATAATTTAAAATTAAACTTTAAAAAATATTTGTTCAAGTAAATGCTACAAATTAAAATATTGCATAGTCAACGTGAAGTGCCTTTTTAAATACTGAATTAGTAATTGCTAATCTCCTATATAATACTGACCTCTAGAGCTAGAGCATTGGAAGTTCATTTCTTAGTATAACAGAGCAGTTAGCAAACCTTAATTAGAAAAGAATTTAGAGAATTTGCAGGCATTCTTCACCTTTTAAAACTTTTTTTTTTTTTTTTGGTAAATATTACAAACAGAATTATGATAAGTACTTATGAGCTTTTTCTCTGGTGTACTTTAAAAGTTACAAGGATTATATTTTGCCTTCAGTATTTTCATTTCTCTGCATTTCTGAAGTGGACTTAACAGCTGCTAACTTAAAACAAGGTTTGTTAAGTATATTTCTCTTTTTTCCTTCTTTTTTTAAATTTTATTTTATTAATTACACTTTATTCACTTTGTATCCCCCATAAGCTCCTCCCTCCTCCCCTCCCAGTCCCACCCCCCTCCCCCTTCTTCACGCATGCCCCTCTCCAAGTCTGCTGATAAGGGAGGTCCTCCTTTTTTCTGATCACATCAGTCTATCAGATCACATCATTTAAAAAGTTTTGTAAAATCACACACATAATTCATTCATTTCCTTTAAATTTTTCTGGTGTATAAAAGGGCAAATCACATTTGATTTTGTGTCCAGAAAATTTGATAAGCCTAATTTTCATGGGTCATATGCACATTCTTTGGGGATGTTCCAAAAGGCAATCTTCATCTGCCAGCATTTCTGTCTTTTTTGTCTTATCCCCACTCCCCTACTTTCTTGTCTTTTACTCCATATAAGTTTTTCAGTGAATGAATGTAACATTCCAAGCAGAACCTCTAAGAGGAAAGTCATACTGGATTCTGGTGCCTGATGAGTCACCTTTTTAGATGAGAACAGGTGCTCTTGTATTGGTTTTGACATTTTTGTTTTGTTTTGTTTTGTTTTGATTTTGGATGACTATCTGCATTGTCATCTTCTGTGGCCTGGTAAGGCTACTCCTCCCTCAGGGGGAAGTGATCAAAGTTCAGGCCAATCAGATTATGTCAGAGGCAGTCCCTCTTCCCATTACTATGTAACTCACTTGGACACTAAACTGCCATGGGCTACATCTGAGCAGAGGTTCTAGGTTATCTCCATGCCTGGTACGTGGTTGGAGTATGAGTCTCTGGGAAGACCCCTGTGTTCAAATTTTCTGGTTCTGTTGCTCTCCTTGTGGGGTTCCTGTCCTCTCCAGATCTTACTATTTCCCACTTCTTACATAAGATTCCATGCACTCTGCCCAACAGTTGGCCATAAGTCTCAGCATCTGCTTTGATAGTCTGCAGGGCAGAGTCTTTCAGAGGCTCTCTCTGGCAGGTTTCTAGGTGGTTTTCTTGAGGTGACTTTCTTCCAACAGCTACGCTGTTATTGTAATGGGGAGCAGCTTCCAGCACTTCTTAGTCCCTTGTCTTTCCTGGCTCTGGAGACCAGGCCACTTTTCCCATAGGACACCAGTCTTCTGGGAGTGGTAACAGGTTGCCACTGGCTGCTCCTCCTTCAAGAACTTTATCTCCTGTGGGGTGGAGAGTTTCTTATTAGGCACCTGCTTTCATTTTGTCTTGTTTGGTCTTGTCCCTGAAAGAACACTCTCTTCTTTCTTACACTCTACTTTCCTTTCTAAATGATAGAGATGTCTTCTTCCTGTTATCTCCCTGGTTTCCATTTCTTTTCTAAGCCTTTCTCTGAAGTATTTAATTTCAGGTTCAGAAGAAACCTTGGCTTCTATTATCTGAGTTTTCTCAACATTGAGAATTCTCCAACTGCTTAGCACTCCTGTGAAGCGCCCACTCTCATGAACACATTGCAGTTGTATGTGGCAGTTTTTCCACTGGTCTGCTGTGTTTATTTCCTTGCCTTCTCATTTATGTGGATTTTTCCTTCTCCTCTTGTCTCCTACTTATTCTGGAGCTATAGATAAAAGGGCTCTATATTTACTTTTCTTGTCGTTGTATATAGTTTTAGAAGGAGGCATTCATCATCCATGGTGACTTAGAAAACCAGACTTTCCTTTTCCCCCTGTAGCCAGAAATAAACTGCATTCCTTGATAACCATATTATCTCACATGAGTGAATGTTAGAAAAGCAATATAACTGGTTTACTTCTGTTTAAATTTGCTTTCTTGCATTGTTTGCACCATAGTGAGGAAAACTTAAACGTATATTTCAAGCCTACTCTGGAAGTCCTTTCCTCAGACCACCAACCCCTTTCCTTAGTTTCATTCTTGTTTTGGTTTGTTCTTTTTGAGATGGGGTCTCACACTGTATGTCAGGGTGTCTTAGAATTCACTCTATGTCCTACAATGACCTCGGACTCAGAGTAACCCTGCTTCAGCCTCTCAAATGCTAGGATGACCTACCATACACAGTTGGCTTTTTATTTTTATACTGTGTTCTACTTTGCTTTCTGTTCCCGTGATAAACACCATGACCAGAACTAACATAGGAAAGAAAGGGGTGATTTCATCTTGGAAATTGTAGTTTATTATCAAGGAAAGCCAAGGCAGGTGCTTGAAGTAAAATCTATAGAGGAATGCTGTTTCACGCTTGCTCCCATGCTCCTACATTTGCTACCTTGCTTAAAATTTTATGTGTCTGAATGTGCCTTTGTGAGAGTATGCCACTTCCATGCATATGAATGTATGAGTAAGGGTGCCCCAGAGACTAGAAGAGAGGATCAGATCCTTTGGGGTGGAGTTAAAGGCAGTTGTGAGATGCCTGACATGAATGCTGTGAACAGAACTCAGGTCCTCTGGAAGTGTAGCAAATCTTCTTAAATGCTGAAACATCTCTTCAGCCACTCAGCCACCTTATAAAGCGAGGCCTACCAACCTCGTGATGGTGCTGTCCATAGGCTGGGCGCTCCTACACTAAGTAGCTATGAAGAAAATGCCCTATAGATGTGCCCATGATAGAAACGGTTCTTCAGTTAAGTTTCCCTCTTCACAATTATGCCAAGACAACAACTCACCAGGTCATGCGCCTTCATGAAACAAACTGTAAACCTAACTCACTTTTTGACTATTTTGTGTTTTTAAATGCACTTGGGAGAATGAGGAATATAGCAAAAAAAAAAAAAAAAAAAAAAAAAAAAAAAAAAAAAAAAAAAAAAAAGAAAACTGTGAGTGTATTAGGAGTAGGAGAAAATCAGTTTTGAAACTTGAATTATCTAAACTGTATTCTTGTACTAGATTATGCTCAAAGTCAGATTATGTTCTCCTAATCTGACTTTGATGTTAACCTCAGTGTGTAAGATATTTGTTAGGGCTGTGCTGATGTGAAATTTTTGAAGGGAGGGAAGAAAATGAGATAAGTATAGGTAAGAATTGAGTTACAAGTTGTAATTCTCAGTAAAGGATCATTTGGTGATTGGGAGAGTACCAGAATTCTTATGTCAAATATTTGATAGCTATTCTAAGTGTGAAGGACAGAGGGCACTTAGAAGCTTTGTTTCAATACATAACCCATAATTAAAAAATAAAGTTACTTTTGTACTTACAAAAATAAAACATGTTGTTTGGTGGAAATGGTTAAAAAAATGACTTTTTCCCCCCTGTTGCATGGTTTAGGAGATTGTAATTTATATAAAGCTTCAATGTTGTTAACAGGCATCCTATTTGCTTTTCAGCTTGGGCAATGGTAGACAGTGGTTCAAATGTGAAAGCCCGTTCTTCCTACAATGAGAAGACCCCAAAGATCATTGTGTCTCGCTCTCATGCAGGGATGGTCAAACAGGTTGCTCTTCAGACATTTGGAAACCAGACTTCAATCATCCCGGCTGGTGGTGCTGGTATGTTCACCCTGCTTCTCCCCGTCTTGTAGTAATGTAGTGTGTTCCCAGAATGAGCAAGGATTTCTCAGGGGATCAAATTATTTGTTACATGTGTGGGCACAAAATAAGGAGGAGATTTACTTAAAAGACAGGCCTACTCCTACTCCTATGGGGTTGCATTACCATTACCCGGGTCATAAACCAAGTTTTATGATAGCTCTCCCTAAATTCGCACAAAAGCATATTGCTAGCAGGGTTATTTTTATGTGACTTGACTTCAGAATAATTGTCCTATATGTTTATGGAGGAAAGATGAAAGACTTGAGATGTTTCGTGTGGCAAAAAGCTGTCAGGTATCCTAGGGATTCCTAGAATGGCTAATCCCGGAATCACTGAACTCTTTAACTTGTATATTTGGGATGAGCAAAATGTATTCTCCCAGATTAACATCTATCCTCTGCTTTCATACTACTTGATTATAAATCAGAATCCACAGTTCCAAACACAGGCAGTAGTAAACATTCAAATATTATGGGACACATAGTTTTTGCCATATTATTTGATTTGAAACTGCCTTCTGAAATATTTAATTAGTATGAGATGTCTACAAAAGCAGAAAATAACCCAGATTTGGCTTGAAGAGGCCATTTGATGAATGTTTATCATGTCAGAATTTTTTTTTTTTTTTGTTTCAGGCAATTGAATTAAAATCAGGAAACATTTGTGTTGCAATCACTATTCAGCAGTGCTAAGATAGAAGTAGTTGCCTGGGAGAAAGGACACTTTTCAGCCTGATATATTTAATTTGCCAATTGTCTATACCTGCTTTCTTAAGTCCCTCCCTGCCCCGCCCCCCCCCCCTCCCGTGCCTTTTAGATTGGTTAGGAAAGATAAAGATAAATGTCCAGAAGGGATGAGATGAACTAGATTCTAGATGTGGTGTCATCGCCTTCATCATCATCATCATCAGATTATTATTATTATTGCTACTGCTACTATTATTATTCCTCCTCTGCCTTCTAGGAATAGGTGTCATAGACAGGCTTGCTATAATTGAGAATAGCATAAGTTTATTTAGACAGTACTGTTGCTACATCAAACCTAATATTGGTTTTGCTTACTTGTAAGCATTATTATGTTGGGAGATGATTTTAGATTTCAGCAAAGGCAGTGTAGAACAGTCATGAAGACCTCATCCTCTTCCCTTTAACTATGGCCTTGAAAATTTTACACAGTTTTTCTTAAAAGTCTTTTGAGTAATGTCCTAAATTTTCTTTGTCTTTTAGGTTATAAAGTTTTAGCACTCTTGGATGTGCCTGATACAAGCCAAGAAAAAGCAGATCTATATATTCATGTGACATACATCAAAAAGTGGGATATATGTGCTGGCAATGCCATCTTAAAAGCCCTCGGGGGGCATATGACCACTCTGAGTGGTGACGAGATCAGTTATACTGGGTCTGATGGCATTGAAGGGGGACTCCTTGCTAGCATCAAAATGAACCACCAAGCTCTGGTCAGAAAACTCCCCGATTTAGAAAAGTCGGGACATTAGCATTCCTGACCATAGGGTGCAACTCTTCCAGATGTGAACTGTTTGGCCTGAACTGTTGGAAGCTTGGAAGACTGGTAGAAGCGATTCATGGTTAAGGCCATCCTGAACCTTTGGAAGGACTTATGAAGCATCAAAGACTCACTTTCCCTGAAACAGGATGCAGAATCAGGGAAATTGGGTTGCTTCGTTTCTCAAGTATTGTCTTTATTTTTGAGACTATTTTCATACAATTGTCATACACAAGGCGCATATATATATATATATGTATGTATGTATATATATTTGTGAATTAAAATCTAGAGCTGAGTACACTGTTATGAGTCACCATTTCACTCAACAAATGATGAGTCTGCACTGTTGATACTTACGTATAGATTGAGTTTGAGGAAGGCTTTGTTTTGTGTAGATGTTTAGTGTAACTTTGAAGTTGTATCTTATTGAAAATAACTCATTGGTGGTTTTTACTCCTCAGATGGAAAAGCACAAGAAGTCTCATACTCATTAATATGCAGCGAACGCATATGAACAGGAATAATTCTGTTCTGCCATTTCTATGGATTTAATAGAAGAGGCTTAAATTATTTTCTTTGAAATTTTACTAACAGATTCACCAGCCAGTAGGAAATATAAACAAATGATGGATTGCATTATGGTTAGAATTTTCTGTGAATGTGTGTTTTGTATTGATAAAAGAGTGTTTATGGTTTCAACATCTCAGCCATGTTACTTTTGGTTTTCATTTCGCCGTGAAAGGTGCCATTTTTCATCTTTTCTCTGCTGACCAGGACTTAGTTTTTAACCTGTAAAGTTGGTCATAAGTTTTAATATTAGCACCATGATATGATATATTTTCTCATTAGAAAGAAACTAGGCTGTAAGACACTATAAGAATAAATGATTTTGTAATAATTGGAAAATACATGACATTATATGGATTGACTAGTTTTAATTAATTTTCAGGACTTTTGTTTAGTAAATTGTTAAATCTTGCCAGGTTTATCTGTAGAAATTATCTTATCAAGAATGGGCACAGCTCAGTTTTTAGCTATTAATAGGCTTAAATGTAACTAAATTCTCAAAGGAGTCACCTGTGACACAATTCTATAGTTTCCTCATTTATAAAAATGTTTGTGTTTTTTTTTTTTTCTTTTTCCCACAGAGTTGGCAGAATGTGATTAGAAAAGGATAAGGTGACATTTGTCGTGTTGCTGTAACTAACTGCTTTTTTTGTCTGAGCTGTATTTGCTGGTGTGAGTGATTTTTTCTTCCTGTGATTTAGAAAAGTAATGTAAATAATCATGTATTTTTTCATGTGGCTTTGATGTCCTTGTAAACTTTAATGTGGAATTTCTCATATTTTCTTTTCTTAAAAATGTAAGCCTAAAGAATTTTCTATTTGTTTTCCAATTTTAGAGGTAGAGTTGAGCAGAGAATGGACACTCCAGCTAGTAGATTGTTCATACTTGAGGTTGTCATGTCACTGGGGACCTAAGCCCTTCTTCCTTCCTCAGCAGTAGACTGCATCTTCGTACTGAACAACAAGTGCTTTCTCCCATACTCAGCAGCTGGTAACAGATACACGAGTTGCCCTTTGTGCAATCAAAATTCAAAGTTTTGGGAGTTGGAAACTTGGTACTTACATAACAGGACTTGTGAGCTTTTAAAACAATTTCAGACACCTGATTTAGTCACTAGATAATATGATAAGAGAAAGGAGATCCAGCTTTCTCTGGAGAGATGGCAAAAGCAGATACTGTCACAGAGTCCTGTGATAGAGGCATTTGTTTTCATTGTAATAGGTCAAAAATAGAATATAGAATTTAATTGAATATGTTTTAAAGTGCAGAAACTCTTTACCATTTTGTAGAAGTAAAACTAGTTCACACTAGCAAGCATGATTGCTTTGTTTTTATTAACAGGTGTAACTAAGGATATGAAGAATGCTGTGTGCTGTGCTAAAAAGTTAGGATTCTGAGAGATGAAAGTATTTCTATAATTTGTCCATGTTGTCTAGTTACTAATGATCTTATGTACTTTTATAGACAGTTTATTTTTAAAATTTTTTTAAGAGCCAATATACATTATAAGAAAAATGGTATTATTTACATAAGGTATTATTGTGCCAGAACGTACTAGCTGTGGAATATATAATATATCTCAGAATTAACATTGTTTTATTTCTAAAACATAACAAAATAAGCAAATTTATATTTAGAAATGACCTGTTTTCCTTTTAGTAAAAGCAGAGATGCCCACAGCCATGGTGGGTGACATCAGCTGTTTCATCCTCAGCCACCTTTAGCTGCCACTGCTCCTTTTTCCTTTTCAGCTCTCTGTCTTAGCTGTTATGCCACCTTGCCCCATGCTTAACCCAGCATTCTTTTATGAACTCATTCTTCTTTATATTGGCCACCGAACAGTCAAATTGAGACTTAGTTCAAGATTACAGTGAAAGCGATTAATCCTGAAGAGACCTAGTTACCCACTATATTTGAGACTTCATGAGAAGTGAAGAAAATTACCTTGGAAACCATAAACTTTCCATGCTGTTATGTAAGCCTGCTTGAAGAAACCTGTTTTTTTTGTTTGCTTGTTTGTTTGTTTATTTTCATTCTTATACCCCCCGCCTCTGATTCAGTTGAGTTTACAAGGCCCTACAATACAGCCATATTTGTGTTGGTGATTTTTCTCCTTTGCTTAGCTTTTTGTTGTTTTCTTAACTGAAACACTCAGATGAGGTATTGGTGATACATATAATGAACTGACAAGAGCATCTAGATTTGTGTTTATGATTGTGGAGATTCTTAGTTTCCTGGGGCTCCTTTGGACTGTTCTGCAGATTGTGTCAAGAGGAAACAGTTGGGCCAAGGTTAGATGCTAAGTTCAGGAAATGTGATGATACTCTGGCTATGAAGGCAGAAGTGCTCTGGTAACTTGGGCAGAAGTACAGTGGAGTGCCATCCATTTTAACTTCTTTGGTGATAGATGAAGATAGCCTTCCTGGGACAACCTGGAAGGTGAAAGCAGCAATTCTTCTAGCTACCTGCGATAGCTGTGTGGATCATTGCTGTGTAGAAACATTAGTTTTCATATTAGCTTGGATTAAGAGTTATTTAATGATATACCTGTAGAGTGGCTCTGTCTTAAAATTGTGTGTAGAAAAAAACAAAACAAAACACTAATCTCTGGGGGTTTTCCTTAAGAAAAAAAAAAAAAAAGATGTGCCTTAAATAGGGCATTGTATGTTAATAAGACAAAACAAAACTTCTTTTTAGCAAGTGGGGAAAATAGCTTTTTTCCCATTAAATTTTAAGTTCTTTTAGTGTTTTTTATATCAGAGTTGGGGAAAAGTCATTAAAATTAAATAAAACTGATGAATTATTTTTGCATAATGTAGCATTTATAGTTGAAGTACATTTTTCTAAGAACTGGTTCATGATGTACATAAGTGTGAAATGATAGTTCATCATTTGGTTTTAAATTAAATGGTAAACCAGGATAGATTGCATTTTACAAATTTTACTTTTAAGTAAACTATTTCTCTAGCTTTTTGGTGGTCTAGTAGTTAAATAATAACTGTGTTGTGACATAACAGAGTTCCTAATGAAAGGATTCTAACCTTGATCAGCCACGGTTTTGAGGGCTGCTTCACAGTGAAGTTCAGCAATCACTTGGTTCTGTGAGGTGCTCATATGTGTAAATTGTTCTTTTTTATCTTATCAACACCTGGCAGGTTGTATTCTGAGTTAGCGTTGACAGGGTTTTTTGTTTATTTATTATTTTTTGAGTTGGGCAGTAATTTAATGGAAGAAATGAGATGTTTGCTTTTGAGATAATACAAGATAAATTTTAAAGTTAAGGATGATGAATAATACTAAAACAATTGATTATATATTATATTTGTTGTCATTCCCTAAAGTATTATCTAATGTATGTTTGTAAAGTACAAAAGCAGGGGTTGTGATATTTTGTCAATATGCTTAATTAAAATTATTTTAAGGTGTAAAACAAGTGGTACATTTGTCATTCTGGAGAGACTTGTTCCTCCATATGTGTTTTTAAACTAGGAAATATAAGTTAACATGAGATACTTAACCAGAAAACAATCTCATGTCCCTATATATGGCCTTCAGTCTTTGTTATGTGGCATGAATTAGAGAGGGACTCTTGTCCTGTACTGGCAGTGGCCAGAACCAGCCTTTGTTAGTCTAACAGGCTGTCTATAGTAATAGACTGTCCATTGCTATGGCTTGTTTTTATTGGCAGTACTGTCTTGGTAGCTTCTGCCTGTGTCACCAGAACTGTGTCCTTTCCCTGATCTTTTAAACTTTATTTTCATCTTTACTTCCTGTTAATCTATTTCTTAAAATGGGTCAACAGTGGTTGACTACTTCTTTCTTTTCATATATATCAAGCCATGGAGGAAATAAGCCGTTTCCTTTTGCAGAGATGCCACGTTTTCTTAGCAGGCTCTGACCTGCCAAGCCACTCCACCAGATTGCAGTGGAGCCCAGTGTCAACTTCTTTGGGAAGAAACGTCTCCAACCATGGCCTTAGAAGAGTGCTTTATGTTTCACCACACCGCTTTTACAAATGCTGTTAGTTTACTTGCTAAGAAGATGGAGTGTGTCTGATTTCTGGGTTTGTGTTTTCACTACATCCCCATTACCTAGTGTCTTGCACAAATTAGGTCCAGATTGTGTGCTGAATTGGACTAAAGGATCACTACTAGTATTAGCATGCTTCATGTCTCAGTAGTATAAGCTAGTAGCTTCCTTTGCTGATACAATTTCTAAGTGTCACCCTATACACACTAAGTTGTTTTTGTTTTGTTTTTTCAGTTTTGCCTTTCCTCTAGATACTACCCAATGGTCAATTGACTGTATAAAATGTGATTGCTTCCAGTGACATAATTATCCCAAACCTGCCCTGAATATACTTTAACAAGTGAAATTTGAATTCTTCAAATAAATTGATCATGTCTGAGAAAGTTGGTATGCTGTGTCAGTGTTTATTATCATTTTACTTCTTTTTTTTTTTAATGCATAGTTCTGTAGCATGAAGAGCATCTACAATATAATGCAATCTATGATCTTCACCATCCGTTCCCAGAACCTGACCCACATTTCTAAACAGAAATGATACTAAATAGTGGCTTACATTCTACCTTTGCCCAGCCAATTGCTGACATTTGTCTCTGACAATATCTGCTTTGAAACTCTGGGATTCTTTGTTCTTACTACATACATACATAAAAAGCAGTGTTTAAGAATGGGTAGCAAAGAAAAACACAAAAATGTTTAGACGAATTTTGTCAGATTTTGAAACTTCTGAAGGAAGAAATAAATCATGACCTGAGCCAAGAGGAATAAGGATCGGTCCCAAATGCTTGAGATGTGAGAGTGATAGGATGAGAAAGAAGACAAGCAATAGTTGGGTCTGGGAAATCTTTCAGAAGCCTGTGACCTATGCCAAGCAAGTTTATTAAGTTGTAGCATCATATATCCTTTTGGCAGGAGGAAAATGACCAAAGTCAGCAGAGAGCTAAGTCACAATGTTGGCAAAGAATACAGCTGCCTTAGGACTGACAACAGCCCAAGGGTGAGAGGTCCCCAGAACTGCAACTTGACTTCTGCAAAGCACTGGCTCCAGAGTTAGACTGGCCTTGCCCAGTCTGTACCTGGACAAGGACACAACCAAAGTCCTTTGTCCTTTCTTCAGCTCATCTAAGAGTCTTGGGTCAGCCTGGCTCCAAAAATGCACCAAAAAGAGAAAAAGAAAAAACAAACAAAAAACGTGGAAATACATTGCATTTAGCTTTTCCTGTAATGTTTGAGTTTGGAACTTGATTTATTTTAGCTTTCTGGAGGTCCAGATTTTGCTTGGCTATAGTGACAGTTTTATAGTAGATGATATTGTTGGAATATGTTAGCGCTAGTAGGTAATACAGTAAAATTCGAAGGCACTGACAAGGTTCCAGAACCTCAATCCTGAGGGTGAGGGCAACATTACCAATGATTTGCTGGGTTCTCCTTTTGTGTGTCATGTGACACACATTGACAGCCAAGTGTTTATTCTATGAACTCTTGAGAGACACACACCCTCAAGTATACCAAGTGGTGTGTAATGGAGCTATCCGCCTGATCCTGTGGCACAGGCCTATAATCCCAGCTACTTAAAAGATGTGGAACAAAAAGACCACAAGTTAAACTTGAGACAGTGCCTCAGACTTTTTAAAGAAGTGAAACATAGATAGTATATGTATATGTATACTATGGGAATACACAGTGTAATGGTAGAGTGCTTACCTAGCAAGCTTTAGCATACTTGAGGCTCTAGGTTCAATCCCCAGCACTGGAAGCCCAGGTCAGGGACAAGAAATAGCACAGAACCATTGCTGGAATGGAGTAATTTAAATATTTGGCATCTATTTGAAAACTCATTTACAAAAACAAACAAAAATCTTATGTCAACAATGATGCTGGTGAACTTTCTGATTAGTTCATTTTAATCTCTTGGATTGTCACAGTTGCTCACCTGTGTAGCTCTACCATACATGGGGAAAAATCCTGTTTTGTAGAAATTAAGTATTAGTTTGACCATCTTCGCTACCTTCTCAGTCTCCCAAATAATTGACACAGAGACTTATTAGATTTATTCAACAAGCTCTGAGCTCTATAACTGGGCAGATATTCACCTATTCTGACCTGGTTATGCTAGTCTGGTTGCCTCCCAGCCACATGCCCTTTTTCTTGCCATCTCATTCTTGCCTTGGCCTTCTGTAATTCTTTCCCCAGGGTCAACACCTCATCATTATGAATTCTCCACCTTCCTCTCTCCTCCTCTTCTCTTCTTTTCCTTACTAGACCAGGAATGGAAGTCCTGCCTGCATTTTCTTCTGCCCAGTCACTGGCTCATAGGCTTCTTTATTAACCAACCAGGGATAATTGGGGGCCAATGTTTATAGAACATTGATACAGGAGATTCTTAGATGATTGTGGCAATACCCATGTCCAGGCTGTACCCGGATCTTGGGGCACAGAAATCAGCAACTGAGTACATAGGTCACAAGACCACCCCCTATCACCTCCCCTTTTTAGCCCAATAAAAGGTTGTCTCTTTTACAAAAATTAACAATATGAAATAAGAACAATTATGAAACCTATCACATAAAAATTACATTCACAATGTCCCGTCTGTAGTCATTTTAGGAGAAAGTAATCCATCCTATCTTGGTAAGTTCAGAGTTTTGTACTTAATTAAAATGTTGCATTTATCTACCTAAAAAAAAGTACTTAGAGTTCAAAATAATTTTTAATATTTTTGAAATACTAAACAGTGTCACCTGAAATGTGAGACTATAATAATTACCTAGTCTTTAGCCCCATCAGAGACTTGAGAAGGAATAGATATTACCTGAGTATGTGGGAAGTACAGAGCAAGCAGCTTCCAAAGTCATAGAAATGACAACGATGGTCAGCTGGACAATCACGCAATATTTTTCAGCAACATTGGGGCATTATCCTCATCCTTTTGGCCCAGTATGTGACATACTTTTTGAGAAGCAGGAATTAGGAAGGATTGCCTACCTTGTCTTGGCAAAGCTCAGCATTTGACTTTCTGCATGCCGTACTTATCCACACCTTGGACAGCATGCTGTCTGCAGTTGAAGGTAAAAGCAGTTTCTTGCTCCGTGGCTGGCTTTCCATTTTTGAAGCAAACTCCATATGGAGGTTCTTCAATGCCAATCATCATCTTTGAAGAAGAATGGGAGTGCTACCAGGAGCAGACATGCCTCACTGTCAAAAGATCCTTTTATTAATAAGTCATCTTTAAATGCTATATTCTGTAAAGCTCAGGTTTTTGAAGACAATTTTTCTATTTGTAGTATATTTGAATATGCAAATGGTTAGTTTGCCTTGTTTTTAGCTATTTACTATCTGATTAATTAAAAAAAAAACATTTACAGGAGGGTAAATGAAGTTTATTTCTGTGAATAACTAAAGTAGTAACTAAACATGACCATGAGATTGATTGACTGACTACAAACTTGCATTTTTTAATTATTCTAAACATTTTGTAATAGTACATTTAAAGGATCAGAATTTCACATTATATTTTTAAATGAATTGCATAGGTACAATACCTTATACAAGAGTGTGTGTGTGTGTTGTAACAAAATAACCTTAAATTTATATCAATGTACAATATTCCAATGTAAAAATATTTGAGACTAATAGTTGATCTTTAAAGTAGATTCAATAATCTACCTTTTGATCCTATCATTTCTATATACCCACTTTTTTTTTCCTTTTCATCCCTTTTCTCCCCTTTTCTCTTAACATTAAGTAAGAGAGAAACAAGGATTGAGGACAGAAAAAGAAAGATACACATGTTATATACTCACTTGTAAGTGGGTATTAGACATATAATATAGGATAATCATACTAAAATCTGTACACCTAAGGAAGCTAATCAAGAAGGAAGACCCTGGATAAGATGCTCAATCTTTATTCAGTAAGGCAAACAGGACAGACATTGGAAGAGGGAGAAAACAGGGAACAGGACAGGAGCCCACCACAGACGGCCTCTGAAAGACTTTACTCAGCATGGTTTCAAAACATATGCTGAGACTCATAGCCAAACTTGAGGCAGAGTGCAGGGAATCTTATGAAAAAAGTGGGGGATAGAAAGACCTGGAGGGGACAGGAGTTCCACAAGGAGAAAAACAGAACCAAAAAATCTGGCACAGGGGTCTTTTGTGAAACTGAAACTCCAAACAAGGACCATGCATGCAAATAACCTAGAACTCCTGCACAGATGTAGCTCATGGTAGCTCAGTGTCCAAGAGGGTTCCTCAGTAATAGGAATAGGGTCAGTCTCTGACGTGAAATCATGGGCTGGCTCTTTGATCACCTCTACCTGAGGGCGGAGCAGCCTTACCAATCCACAGAGGAAGACAAAGAAGCCAGTCCTGATGAGACCTGATAGACTAGGGTCAGATGGAAGGGGAGGAGTACCTCCTCTATCAGTGGACTGGGGGAGGAGCATAGGAAAGAAGAGGGAGTGAAGGTAGGATTGGGAGGGAGTTGGAGAGGTGGCTACAGCTGAGATACAAAGTGAATAAACTGTAATTAATAAAAATAAAAAAGAGAAAAAGAAATCCCTTAATCTAACCCTCTTTACTTTGTCTCCTCCCTGACCAAGACCATTAACAACTTGCAACCAAACCCCCTTTAATAATGTCAAACATCCACCACACAACAAACAGGCAAAAAACACCCACCCCACCTTTTGGGTGGGTGTCATCTTCTTTTGGAGGCTCCTAATAAAGTTGGGACAATAGCCAAGTCCTAGGAGAGGTAGCTGTATTATTCATTGTCCAGTCTCTGTGTGCTGGAAAAGCGCAGGGCTTCATTGACTTCCTGCTGGAACAGCCTGGAATGGTGTATGATCTAGCTAGCCATTTTAAAGTTGTTCTGGTGTAGATTGAGGAAACAGCTACTGAAGCAGTCTGTGAGGCTGAGTCAAGCAGGATGCTGAAATAAATATGTCTCAGTGTATCAGCATTGCTCTCAGCATCCCCAAGGGTGAAACTTGTCAGGTCTACTTTAATTTCACTGGTGTCTGGTCTTTTTGTTCTGTAAACATATATAATTTCAAAGACAACATATACTTTTGCATTAACACGTGTATGGAATGTTCAGTGCATACAACTTAGCTAAAGATGATTCTCTGCTTTTTTTTTCTTTTTTTATTAATTACACTTTATTCATTTTGTATCCCCCCATAAGCCCCTCCCTCCTCCCCTCCCGATCCCACCCTCCCTCCCCTTTCTCATGCATGCCACTCCCCAAGTCCACTGATAGGGGAGGTTCTCCTTTCTGATCTTAGTCTATCAGTTCTCATCAAAAGTGGCTGCATTGTCCTCTATTGTGGCCTGATAAGGCTGCTCCCCCCTCAGGGGGAAGTGATCAAAGAGCAGGCCAATCA